GGCGGGCGTACGGACGGACGTATGTACGTACAGACAGTCACGTAACAGCCAAAATTTTTCATATAGATGGTTACCAAATTTTCTAAGGCACGCGGGAGCTCCGCTATGAATTGCGCATACCTGAAATTTCCTTTTCCTTTATCAATTTCCTCAGGTTTCTCATCGCTTCAGATGTTAAAAGGTTGCCATTCACGTTCAAAATTTTGAGATCTTTTAAGTCTTCAAGATCCGTTGGAAGTTCCTTCAGTCTGTTATGGCTTAAGTAAAGCTTTCTGAGTTTCCTGAGACGTTTAGTATTTCTAGGTAACTCCGATAACCAGTTGCAGTTCAAGTTAAGAACTGTCAGCTCCTCAAGCATAGTGACATCCTCAGGAAGTTCTTGCAGCATATTATTACTCAAGTCCAGCTTTTGAAGTTTGTTCAGATTTGCAATACTCTTAGGAATTCCAGACAAACGATTGCAGCTCACTTTAAGGTAGCTCAGGTTAATCAGTTCACCAATACTCTCTGGCAGTTCAGTTAGCCTATTCAAGGTTAACTTCAACTCTTTGAGATTTTTCATCTGATTGATACTTTTTGGTAATTCTGTTAGCTCATTAAATTCCAGGTTAAGAATCTCAACATAAACCATATCTGTGACACCGTGTGGAACCAGTGTCAACTTTCTACCATTAAGATGTAAAACCGTTTGTCCGTTACTGTTTTTGTATTCACTTTTCCAGAGCTCCATGGCTGAGTTGTTTTCCATTGTATCTGAATGGAATGTTCTTCTCAGTTTTAGATCCTACAAATTAAAGCATTTAAATATAAATTTCAGTGAAGTGATAAATGCTTTAAATAGTTGTAAACTCGGCACGGCCCGCTTCTACAGCCGATCGCGCTTCATGCTCAGAAAAAGCGTGTGGAGCAGGCTGCTAATCTTAACATTATACGTATAGCTAACGCCAGCCTCCTGGAAGATGTGAAAAGGTGTGCCGTTTTGCTAAGAATATATCTTAGCTTAAAATAGCCCGACAGGGCATGTGACAATATATGACCGCAGAATATATTTAAGGTGGTCTTATAACCCAAAAAATGACTTTTTTTTTTAATAGAACAACTCTACAGGACTGTTTTGGTACCGCGCTAAAGGACTTCGCAGTCTGACTTCAAAAGCTTTTCTAGGTCAGATGCCACAATAATTAATGAATAACTACACCCTAAGTTTCAAACAGTTGTATCCATTATAGGCACGTTAACTTACTAACGCATGGTTTGAAAAGCATGGAATTAACTTCATCCTATCTATAGCAAGTCTTCCAGGTGATAAACCAATGAAAACAGTGTTTTGAGTTTTTTCACTTGAAAATGGGGAAACGTTTACTAATATTTACTAATGTTGGCGACATTCGGTTAAAACCCAAAAGAGGTGCATAAATTTTGTATTGAATATACATCTTACTAACCGAGTTCGCGGGCCGTACTGTAAGTTACGGAACGAGTTTTTTCCCCATCGATTTATGGCCCAAGCGCGAAGCGCGCGAGCCATTATTCGCAGGGGAAAAACGAGGTTCCGTAAATTACAGTACGGACCAAGAAAACGAGGTTAGTAAGATATTTATTATATCTCTACCGTGTGTCTGACGGGTTCGGGAACGATTTCTACTCCCGCGGAATGGCTTCAAATTTCTGACGTACCTCGAAAGCATAACGAGTCAATTTGAAATCGTCGTTAAGTTACTCTTAAGTCGTTAGCAGGTTTTAATATACAATTGCAGGAGTAAAAGAAAGTTTTAAACTTTTACTTGCTGAAAACGTTAAGAAGACTTGGCGATACATCACGAAACATTTTGGCAACAATAACGGCTTTAAATTTTAGCGGGCCGTACAGTAGAATACGGCCTGCTAAATTGACCAATCACAGCGCGCGTACTAACTGAGAGATACAATAAAGAAGAATACACACCGGTCATATATAGAAATGTTAACCAAAAATAAGGGGCGTATAAGATGCAAAAGCCATGATGCAAAAGCCAACAACGCCATCAGAACGCCCAGCCCGCGCATATACGCATTGCGGTCCTATTTTTCTTGGTAAATGATAGCGCACGCATGTCCCGGATGTTGTGCTGCCGTTCCTTCCGTTCCCGCTGAGATGTAAATATTTTCGCTTTGTCATTTCGTTCCATAATTGTTTACCAAGTTTATTCTAGGACTAATAGAGTATAATATAATCAAGCGAGTCTCTCCAATTGGCAATTTTTAGGTAAAATTACGCGTGGGTCATTACTGCTGTTAATACTTAAAGGCCTTAGCGTAGGAGAGAGTGATGCAGTGATTTTGTATTCACAACATCGACTCCATCAGTCATGACAGTCAAGTGAACAGTTCTTCGCTTTGATCGATCGTGTAAGCAGGACTCGGTCATGTTTGCAGTGAATAGCTTATCAATCCCGAATTTTCTGATCCGTGCAGTACTCAGACCTTACACTCGAATTAATCAGGAACGATC